TTACAATATTTATTAATGTAATCATTACTTGGACCATAAGTAGATTAAAATTAGTAATAGCGAAACATGTTGGAGTACCTATACTGTAAAATATTAAATACCTCGAAGAAAATAAAGATATTTTATTTTTTAGTACAGGTGCATGTGATGCATATCAGCCAAATTATATGATTTTATCACATAGCGACAGGTACTGCTATCTAGTAACAACTACGAGCGTCAAGTCACCGCGCGCAATGTACAAAACTTCGAAGTTTCAGCTAAGGTCACTAGATGTTGTTAGTATTTTCAAATCGTGCCAAAGAAAACCTCGATGCAATTAGTAGCAAACAGATCTAGAAAGTCCCAATACGCGGAGATTACTGATCAATGCACGAATGCCAATCCCGGCAATCATTCAGTAATCAGTCATCTGAATACAACGTGAGCGATGAAAAGTAATTTAATAGTAAAGTTATTAGTCAGCATTGTAATCTTTAAAGAAGACATTCGGATTGCTGTATTTTTTTTTTGGTTTCTTGCGCCAATAAACTGTCTAATTGTGATCTTAATAGTTATTAATTTTTATCCCAAGCTCCAGTTCGTAAGTAAACAGACAGTAAGACAATTCACTTTTAAACTATTGCGCTGCATTATTAAGATACTGACACATCGTGACCACGGCCGGTGCAACCCGGCCGAAACGTCGGCGCAGGTCAGTTTAAATCACGTCAAATACTTATGAGTATTTAGTAAGACAATTGACATCACAAACTCGATAAAAGTTCCGGATACTGATGCATAGTACCTTGAGAAGTTTAACGGATCTGTCGTCAGATTTGGGCCGAATCTCAACTGTAGATCAATGGGGTAATAAAAGTATTTACGAAATAAAATAAATTGTCACCACAATCGTTTATTTACACAATAGGTATGTATATAGAAAACACAATATCCCATATAACAAACACCTTGTTACAGACCAGTCAAAAACATCTATTATTACAATAATTTGATTTATTTTGAAGGCTTTTAATGTTATGTTATAGAATATAAATCTTTAAGAATTTATAAAATAAGTGTAACAATTTATAAAATTAAATTTTTTCATATTTTGTGATTTTCCAGGAGGTACAAGAGATCATATTTATATCATGCGGCCTGGTTAATTTAATTTCAGGCATTTAGGTTTTATTAATTTACTCGAAGGTATAAAATAACAGTTTTCCAAAATAACAACTTAAGCAGGTCGGAAGGAATAACACGCACATGTAACACAGTATGTCATTTAAATAAAGTAATAAACTGTTATTTAAATGACATGAAATTAAGAATCATATTTTGTCTTTATCGTCATTTCTTTGGTTTTAAGTAGCTTACATTTTTAAAGACCACATTTAATCGTCATCAAAAGTAGTGTCATAAATTCAGATGCTAAAAAACCTACCTTTTGCAAAAACATTTTATACAAAAGGTATAAAGACATAAGACAGGAAGACCAGCATAAAAGTTGCATTTGTTCAATCGGTTGATTTACTCAGATCTACTTACTACTCACACGTATTAACATGATAGCTATTTATTCTATTTCTCCGAAAACAAAATTCCGTCTAACTTTGAAATGTTAATACGACTCAAAAGAAAGGCATTTTTCTATAATTATTTGCGATGCAACGGAGGTAGGATCTAATATTGCCTCTGCTGCACATATAATCTTCTTCAATATGATTTTAACCAAAATATAAGAACAATATGGAATTTTCCGTATTTTCGTTCGAGCATAAATCGAATAAATAAAATAAATAGAAGACGTAAGGTGTAATGTTAATTCATACCAGTTATAGTGGAAATAAGCGTTATTTTGGCGGACTTCAAAATAATACAGAAGGTAACATGTTCAACAGGAATGTACTTTCTTATCTACTTTTACTGATATATCTGCAAATTGTCGCCCTGATTCTCAAAATCCTTTTGTTTTTATTTAAGGTGCACAACTTGAAATATATAGAATAATTACATTACACGCAAATGCTCAAGACAGAGAGGAGGTATTGCAAAATGTTCCTAATCGAATCTGGCATATTATTATTTACGATAACTTAACGTGAACTGCAGAATTATTAAATGAAAAAGAAAAATTACGCAAGAAAACATATTTTTAAACTACACTTGAGGAACACAAGACAAAGACAGGTGGTATAAACACTTAAACATAAATTTAAGAAACGTAACAAACTTCATAAAAAAATTAAATAAAAAAACAAAACACTCGTACTAAGAGGTTGGAAAAACTGTCGTCAACAGCTACGTTATAGGGTAATTCACCTGAGTTCGTTAAGAGAGAAAAAAATCAAAGTACTACTCTATTTCATCGAAAACGAAATCCATATCAATATTAATAAGACTAGATTTTGTAAGTTTATACGAGTATATAACCATAACACCCAATAGATTTGAATGATATACAATACCATACAATTGACATGATATGCTGGCAGATAATTAAACAAGCCGTGTAACTAAAAATCAGTGATGAAGTTGATTTGATATTTCACAAATCTTAATTTTTCTAAAGAGGATAACATATTTTTTTGTAGAACATGCCTTTATGTAGACTCTCTACCTCCTTTCAGGCTAATATTTTCTTTCAAACTTAAAATAAGCCACCACTAAACCAGCAAAAAGGAATATAAAGACAAGCTAATTAAATTGGAAGACACAATAGATCATATTGATGTATTATGAGATATTCAATAAATATAAAATTTAATTTTGAGAGGACAGACAGTAATGGGTCACACCACAAATACAACAGCTACTTAATGTGGTAAATTTATTTGCAACTTCGACATCATTTTAATGTTAAGCCAAGCATTGAAAATCAGATAATTTCACTTGAAGTCATCTATATATAAGACTACTGTTGACTCTAAATGTGTGTATTCAATTAAATATCTGTTTCAGAAATTATAAATGGTTAATGTTGAGCTGATAAATACAGATTAAATTGGGTCATATGGATGAAATTAGTTCTTTTGATTTTATCAGTGCTAAAACATGATTTCATGATTTTTAACACGATAATAGTTGTCCAGTAACAACATAATTTTATTAATCCATGAAATCAATCATCAATGCAAACCCGGGCTTTTATAAAGTAAGAGTAAATACTCCAGTTACAAATTGTAAAAGAGATCTGGCAAAGATTTTGTCAAGTAATAGAACGGACAATTCGAGTTTAGTGCCTATCCTACATTTATTTGAATATCTATATGAGACTGAAACTCCGAAACTCCGGGGTTTGAATTCTGAGCATCGAAACCTAACTCCGGAACTAAAAAATACGATGATTCCGATTTCGATCGAAGCCCTCGTGCTATTTATTATTCATATTATATATCAGTGTCAGGTTTATTTTTTCCTTGAAAAGCTTTATTAATTATACGCGGGCAAATATATACAACGGGCAAATATATACTAACGACAAGGAGAAATAATAAAGTAATGTTAGACATTGACATTTTTAAATAAACTGTATTTTAATTTAAAAATGTCAATGTCTAACGAGTTTAACTGTGTTCAACACAGTTAATCTCGTTTAGGTAAAAGTAGGTATTAAATGTACATTAAATCATTATAAGTCTAGTCTGTGACATGTGTGTTACATGCCCTATCTACCAATTTTTTATGGTAATATCATTAGTTGCAATACATTTATGACTATGGCAAATTGTGTTACCAATAAAGACGTACCACAATGGATACGTATTGATCTACAGATGAAGCGAAGTAAGCTTCATAACTCAAGAAGTGAATGAGTGATAACTAAAACATGGCTTTCGGACTTGACTTCCTAAATATAGAAGAGCAATAGAAATAATACCTATTGAAATAAACGGCTATTGTCGCGTAGTTTAAATGAAAAAGTTTGAATCTCTCAAAAAAAAAAAACAATAAAATTCTAATACATCTGATACATAATCAGAGGTATTAGAAAAAATCTGTATCTGCAAAGCAAAAATGGCATCATAATTTAATCTGTGACGTAAACTGATATCGAATTTGCAATTTTTTCAGTCAATATTACATAATTATAAAAATACTATGACATCATAATTTTACACTATTCATGACATCTATACATATTTTGAATAATTATAAAATTACACGATCGCGCATGGAAATGTTAAAAATATATCTATATTTCCAACAAAATTGTGTGGTAACACGTTGGCTTTGGTCAACCTTGAATTATAAATGTCATTTATATAAATATTTGTGACGTAACAACAACAAGTATTGGAAAAAACATTCACTTACAGGCACAATACAGTTCGGGAACCTATCTTAGATTTGGAAAACAGCAACTGTACATTTTATATTATATGAAGAATAAGAAACGTATTTTCATTAATATGATTTTTTTTTGTCATATTGAAAGAATATCCCAAAATATTGATAAAAAAATTTCGTTTTTTATATAAATCGTCGTCTGATCTTAGAATTGGGTATTTTGTAATAAGTTGAAGCATTTATATTATTTGTTTACACGATAATAAATTACCCACTCTCATAAATTACAAAGTATTCATATTTACCTTAAAATGAATATAATTTAATGATATTTTTTATGTATACACCAAATTTATAATATGCAGTATAATAGGTAATAGTTATGTCATATCGTTATTGACAGATTCTATGACATCACATATGTGACCAATGATAACATAATAATTATTGTACTCAATTCTATGACCAAACGATGGAACACAGTTAAAAAGAATTTTGAACCATTTATACACATTTTCAATTTACATTTAATCGAACAGAGGGCCAGCCTCTGGATTCATAAGAACTTGAAGAAATTTCCGAACGTCTCCTTGAGGAAAATCTTCTGCAGACCATTTCGTTAGTTGCTAACTAAACTATGCTAGCTGATTCTAGTAAACGGAGAATAGCACGTTATTGACCTCGAGTACTCCACCGTGCTTCGACGGCCGTGCTTAGAGGAGGTACTCTCATTGTTCAGAGCGATCAAATGAGGTGTTAGGCGTGCTCTCCACTTTCTTTAATACAATTTTGAAAGCAAAAGTATGTTTTGGAGAGACAGATGCTGGACGAGGAGCCTGTGGAGATCGTGGCGGTGGATCCGGGGGCATCTCTGAACGTGTTCTAGAACGCCTTGGTGGATTCCCACGAATAATAGGGGCGGACATTGGTTCCTTTGGCTGTGGGGACAATCGATTTGGTGATAAACGACTAGGCGAAGGTTCTGGAGTATTAGGAGGCAACATCAACGGCGGCAAATTGGCACACGGTGATCCCCGAGAACCTCTCCGTTCCTTCAGTCCCATCGGAGGTGGCGGAGACATTGGGGTATCATCCTCAGCTGCTGCAACGACTACCACAGGCTCTGCTCTTGCTAGAGGAGCTAATTTCTCCGGCGCATCCAACGCGACTGATTTTCTGAAATAATTTATTCCGTTTTCTATTTCAGCTAACGCTCGTTTTACGAATGGAAAACTCTCCGAAAGTTCTGAAGCAGATTTGCGTACAGGGAACTCGGTTTCACTGTCGCGCTTTCTAGGTCTGCATCGTTCAAAAGTAGGGTCACCAGAAGCTGCCACTGTTTCTGAGACCTGTCTTGTGAGAGCTGCGTGCTTTATAGAATCGGATTTTGATCGTGGTTCTCGTGTTTTCGGTGTAGGAGAGCGACGATCGCCAAACTTTTTGCTGGCAGCACGTTTGATGGAAGAGAATAGTCCAAGCTTTTCTGGTGGTTTGTCTGGTTTATCGGACTTTTCGGGAGGTTTTTCCGAGGCTGGTGCGAGAGTAACAGGGGCATTGGAGGGGCCGGGGACGGGTTCAGGTGCGGGACGGGGGAGGTTCCCCTCGCGTTAGTTGTGCCGAGAGTCTGACGATGGAACATCGCTCGAGCCAGTGGAAGAGAGAGTGGTGTTTGACCCGTAGGGATCAAGTGACGATTGAACGGACATAGAACGACCAGCGCGACGTACTCGTGCCGGAGACAACTTGCCTGGATCTACGCTGGCCGGGTCTGCCTGCAACAACAGAGTTATGAGCGCTCTGCTCAAAATCTTAATTACTAAATAGGGAAAAAATAAACTGATTAAATAATGATAAAAAGTTGTGAAATTTTATTTTGATGAATACTTTTCTTGGTTTGCTTTTAATTTTTCATGATCATTATATATGTGATAGTTATTAACGAAGTTGTTACTATTTATCTTGTATTTATCGAGTCCCTGATATAATAGTATGGAACGTATCCTAGCATGAAATATATGACTACCGCACCTGGTAAGCTAAAGCGTTCATGATGATGGAGTAGGGAACTAGCCCGAGCGGATGCACTTCTCTCATAAGAACATTAGCCGGAATTTTGTGAAATTGTATGTATTCTAAAAAGTTTCCGATAACTTCTTTCAAACACATGTTCTGGTTGGTGTCGCAGTATTTCTTACTCCACATTAAAGCGGCCTGGAATTCAAACAAGGAAAATATTATTAAACATAAATAATTAAATGAAATTAAATAGATCATACATTTTTATTCTTATTTTCTATTGTTATTGAAAATTATACCAGAAATTTTTTGAATAACTCGGGGTTTTCCCGCAATATGCTTGCGTTAATTATAGATTATCACTCACGTATTAGTAGTTTCGTCGTAGATAAAAGAATTCTCTTGATCATAACCATGTACCGGTCATGGAAATTCTTTCGCTTTCGGTACTACTTCATACGCGGGTGACGGATCATAATTTACGCATGGGAATTTGCTTTAAAACAGCTAGTATTCTAATATAGTAGGATATATAATAATAGGGAACCTATTTCTTACCTGAAATTTAGTAAATTCATCAGCACGAAGTTCATCTCTAGCTAAGATTAGTCTGACGACATGCTGGGGCAACAGAGTGAAGGATCCAAGATTAAGAACTTCATTACCATGTTCATCAACGAATTCCAAGACCTACAAAAAGCATAATAATTTAATTATTTACATCATACTATAAATATATCGAATGCGTTCTTTTTACCGCAATAAAACAATGCAAAACAATATTTATCTACTCGCGCGTCGCGATCAGATAAAAGTTGCGAATTGATGACAAAAATCAAATTTTCTGGACACAATCAATCCTATTAATATTATAAATGTAAAAGTTTCTTTGTTTGGATGTTTGTCGCTCAATCACGCCGAAACTACTGAACGGATTTTGATGAAATTTGGTATACAGATAGGGTATTAGCTAACTTAGATAGTAGGATACTTTTTATCCAACTAAACATTTCCCTAGGGTCTACGCGGGCGAAGCCGCTGGCGAAAGCTAGTTTGAAATAATTGTAATCAAGATCACTGGTTAATTTAACGCCAGACTGATTGTCTAATGGCTCGTTAAGATCACATTAGAGATTCCTAATCATTTCATCACAGCGATTTATTCAAAGAGTGACAAACACTGTGGTCGGATTGTTAGCAAGCCAGATTTGGGGTGACATTTTTTCTGAAATCGTTGATCCAATTCCTGGTGGGGTATTTACAGCAATTTTACAGCTATAGTTTTCGTATCTGAGTGGTTGTTTATTGTTCAGGTTTCTTTATTAATAACTCATTAGCTATTATAAATTGAGGGTCTGTGCAATTTTGTACGATATTGTTTTTTTTTTTTTTTTCTTGAAATAAGTAAATAAATTGTCTATTATTTATTAATCTAGCTAGAGCATTTGCCCGGATTGCGAAAGGTCATGGGTTCGAGTCCCATCTCAGAGTGCTTGGGATCAATTGGTTTCATTAAGAATTCATTAATCTAAACAAATATTAATTAATTCTGTTAGGATAAATTCACCTTTTGTACTAAAGATTTGGTGCACTTGTACTGTATATAACGCTCAGCAGAAGCCAGAAGAGCGCAGACGGTATCAACCGTGATGCAGCACTGTACAAAGCCTGCACAGGCTCTGCGAAGTTCGTCCAAACCGTAGTAGTCAGCTGCATTCATTACTCCTGGAATAATATATATAGAAAAATATTGGAGAACTTTTCGTTATAACTATTTCATCAGTTTTATATAAAAATATTTTTGCACAATTCAAATATTTGTCCCCCGCAAAGGCTTTATTATATTCACAAAATCCTCAAAAGTTGAACAGATTGTTATATAAGTTAAACAGAATATTGTAATAGTTAATGACTGATTGGTCACATTACTAGCAACTGCAAGATATAATAGAATTTAAAACAATAAATTTTAATTAAAAGAATTTTAAAAACTCTGCATTCGACCCCAGAACAATCTTTAGAGCATTTCATAAAGTAATGAAGCTGAACTTCACCAAAATTTTCAAACTTTTATCATTAACTTGAGTTTGTTTTAAACTTATGCGAATAAACCTTAGCAGCCTAAGCGGATATATCCGAAGTATTTTGTGCAGAACATTGTTCTTTTTTTTTGACAAGGAAGTTAATTAAAAATTATTCTTGAACAAAGCCTTCCAAAGTTATGAATTTTATTCAATTTTATTATTCAACGCTTGTCAAATAAAAATGGTATATAGATCCTTTACTCTTAATTGTATGTACTCCTTTGCTATTCTATAAAAAAGCATATACTACACCTATTTCAGAACATGTGGCTCGGCCGTTCCACTACTGTCAAATGGACAAAGGTGAAAATTTTAATGAGTAATGCTCCATAAAGTTACATCGTAGTTTACGATATCCTTAACTATATATTAGTCCCTCTTAAGAGGTAGTTAGTTATAACGATATCCTAAACTATATATTAGTCCAAAGGTAGTTAAGTATACATACTGAATTATGGAAGCACGTGTGTGATATTATTATTATCTATACTATAATAAAAACGTAACCGATCGATGTCTGTACATTGAAGATATATGAAAAAAACTGTTATGAGGAACATTTATAAGAGTAATAGAAGACAAAACAATGATTTTTAATTTTTTTGTCTGTTTGTCTGTTTGTCGGTTTGTCTGTTTGTCTGTGCGTTTGTGCACGATAATCTCAGAAACGGCTGAACCGATTTACATGCAGTTTTCACTATTATATTGCGGCATTCTTCCGTTAACATTTAGTGTAATATTTATTTCAATCGGTTCACAAATAAAAAAGTTATGTCAATTTGAAGTGACGAGGTCGTCAAAATTGCTATGAAATATTTACTGTTTTATTATATTTTCGTCTTTAATATATTGATCATCATCATTAATTCTTTGACAGCCAAACTGCAGGGCCTCAGGCCTTTGCTTAATAATTCTTGGTCACCCATCCCGTGAACTACTTTTGCGAAAATTGCTTAGCAATAGCGATCGTGCGCAGCGGCGCATATCCGTAGCGCCACCGAGCTACGAATTAATATTGTCTATAAAAAGATAATTTGTATGATGACAAATAAAAAAATAAGATTCCAAAATTTTGACAACTCCGAAGTAAGTTGACCTCATTTATATATGGCCAATCATATTAAATAGGGTTCAGCTTATAATGGACATGTGGTATACAATCACGCGAGTAGGAGAACAAGCGGAAAGAGCCTTCCGATGATGCAATTAAGCCTCGAGTAGTTTACAGTGAACGCATATTTTTATCAGATTAGGTTCACGTCGTCGTCGGGGCCAGCGGAGGTGGTTGGCAGCCGCTCCCACATTGCACGGTTTCGTCTGTCTGGGAGAGGCACTCTATTTACCCGAGTCTCTCCAATTTTCCATCTGCAAGGAGACCAATGGTCCAATACTTGAGTGTCCTGGTGACTCGGCCATAGCTTGCCGGTTTTCATTTCCCATGAGAGGGTGTAGAGTACGGGTTTTGGAGAGTAGGCTTCTGGGGACCCACCGGGCAACTCACTGTCGGGTTCACGGAGGAGAATCCATCCTCCTCACCCCTGTTGCTTGCCAGGTAACAGAGACAATTTCAGAAGTTTTTCCACGACGTTAAAAAACTTAGATTTTCGTCAACTGAAGTTAAGAACGTAAAGACAACTCGAGTTATATACATTTTTTTCTCTTATTGCTATTTTTTTATGTTAATACTCTTTTTGTTTTTTTTTTTAACATACAAATTGCTGTAGATACGTACTTCAAAGTTGTTATTTTTAGTCTTCACTGGAAACAATGCTTTATTCATTGGTCACAACACTCATATAATTACGCGAGTCTGAGGGTCGGTTAAGAGTAGCTCGGTGGCGTAGTGAATAAGCACCATGGCCCGCGATTGTAGTTGTTAAGTAACTTTCGCAAAGGTCGGGCACAGGATGGATGACCAAAAAATATTATCTCAAGCAACTCCAAGCTTCGGAAAGCACGTAAAGCGATTGGTCCCGGTTGTATTTGCAGTAGTTAATATCCTCCAATACACATTAGGCCAGCATGGAGGGTCATGGCCCATCCTCTTTAACCATCCATAAGAAAGGCCTGAGCTCCTGCAGTTGGTGACGTAAAAGGGCTGATGATAATGATGATGAGGGCCGTTCAAATCTGACAGAAGCTCAGTTAAGCACCTCACGGAAGTATGTTAGTAGACGATTTCCTTCGAGTGTGGAAAGTCGAAATTAAAATATGTTTATATTTTTTTATATCATTACATAAAACTCCACGTATCTTCCGTCAGACATGTACTGACCGACTTTTATAGACAAAGAAAGAGATCAGACAGAAAGCGTTCGGTCTCGGGAGACACCTGAACAACGCGAAGCGTATTTAACTGCCCATCGCGAGGCTCATGCACTATAAAGTTGAATCTGAAGCATTTACATACATGCAGTATGGTATGAGTATGAAACTTCTTTTAGAGAGATCGAGAAAGTAGTTTCGATTATCGCCAACCCGTGTTGACTTCATACTCCACAGGCGTACCGCAGATAAGTTTTCACAGGGTATAATGAACTAGCTATTTTCCCACGACTTTGCCGCAAAATTATAGCCTATGACATGCGCGTCTGATGTAGCTTCCCGTAGGTCGGAATAGCTCTGCAACTATTGGTTCAGTAGTATTGGAGCAAATTCGATGCAAACAAACAAACAACCAAATCTTTCCTCTTTGTAATATTAGTATAGCTTAAGTATAAGGGGTCCGATGGCGATGATAGTGGGTTAGCGCATTCGGTTTAAATTGCAGTTAAATAAGTAAGTAAATACTGCACAACAAGGGCATACATGAATACTTATTTTACATAAATAAGTAAGTACAAACGACAAACTCATCTCTGCCAGCGATTTCTTCCAGTCAAACTAGCATTACATGAAAAATAGAACAATAAATAGCCGATTGTGCATACAACTAGACAAATAATAATAATTAAAAAAGATCAAAAACAAAAGAAGGACCGTTTAAAGGTACGAATAAAATGCTCAGACGCAAGCGACAACCAGAGCGCGAAAAACGAGAAAAAAATAGAAAAATAACATTCGTAAGGACCGTTTACAGGATGGGTGACCAAAACATTATTATCTTGAGCACTGTGCACAACACTGCCATAATGCACGTTAATCCGTTAGTCCTGGCTGCATCAGCAACATTCCGCATTAAGCCCGCGTAGTGGATTATGGCCCATTGATCTTATTCGATTCGTCTGCATTCATAGGAAAAAAGAATTCTACCAAAATACTTCCCACGCAGACGAAGTCGCGGGCACAGTGGTTAAGGAGGATGGGCCATGACCCTCCACGCTGGCCCAATGCGGATTGGAGGGTATTATCGGCTGCAAATGCAGCCGGGACCAACGGCTTAACGTGCCTTCCGAAGCACGGAGTAGCTCGAGATAATAATTTTTTGGTCACCTATCCCGTGACCGACCCTTGCGAAAGTTGCTTAACGACTACGATCGCGGGCCGCGGCGCTTATCCACTACGCCACCGAGCTACTACACGAGGAAGAAGACACTTTCAGATAAATGAGATATCCGAGTGTTAAGAGTGAGAAGCGAGTGTTAAGTCTACGCTGAATGCCAACAA